GAAAAGAAACTCTGACTGGCGCACCAGCGACATTCGCAGTCCCAGGCTGCATCTAAACAAGTCCGGGTAGCTTTCAAAACTTAGAAGTTGTGAAGTGATTTCTTGATTCACTGAGTTTCAAAAGCAAGAAAATGTGAAACGATTGCCTGATTCATTGGAACCCTGTTTGGTCGCGAATACTCCGCCATAGTCATTAACTTGTACGTTCCTTCTCTGGTCGTGAAATGTGTTTTTAGCTCTTCTTTCGGTTGATTCAAAGCGTGATTGAGTAAAGCACCTGCAAATAGCCGAGTACAGAATGAAGCCTAAACTTACAATTATGGTAAATCTGCTTTGAAAAAACAAAGAGCCCCAAAAAAGGAGAAGAACGGTAAGGGAAAAGTGATTAGTGCGACGCAACTGCAGTATATAGCCCATTACTTTCTATACTACTCAAAAAGATCAACCATCGACCCACAAATGGTAGTTTTACAGATATGATAGCAACACGGGTGACACCAATCGATGTTGATGTTTATAACATTGTTTATGCAGTCGCTATTCACACTCACAGAAGTATAAAATAATCGATGGGACACTTAATATGCCATTCATAAACTTGACTTCCCTGAACACAAGTTCGTCCAAGATGTACACTATTAAACTTGAGAAGACTTGAGCTCACAAACAATGATGGGCTAATTGCTTGATATATGATACCCGAGAGAAAACACCGAAAAAACATGCAGAAATTCAACGAATAGGTACTGCTTTTTTGTGCTGGTGCAGTGAGTCAATGACGACTAACATGTAAGTTTGACCGTGCCAAAAAATGAAGTCAATTTTATAGCTCCTGGCAATAGTAAAAGTGTCACAGCAAAGATTCGATGATTCACAGGAAGCTGTCAAAAAATTGCGCCCCCAACGAGCAGTGAATAGAACGAAACTGAAAAGTCTAATTTTACCTTCTGAGAGAGCAGCGGTCGGTTGCAAACCACTAGTGCTCGCGAGAGATGATGACGGACCCAGCAAGTGATTGTGCATCATCATAACTACAACAAAGATTGCTGTAACATAGCAACAAACTAAAGCGGTAATTAGAAAATAAACAATAGTGAACCCTATAAAACGCAAACCCTGCCAGGTTGGAAAACAGTACTTAAAAAATTGCACGGTTGGCGAACTTGCCGGGAAAGCACTAATTGACAACGCCATCCATTCCCTAGCGACTTTAAAAAGCAAAGACATTCGTCATAACTCACTTCACGATTTTCGATTGCCTCGGCGTCATTCCGCATCTCAGAAAAGTCCCATCGCACGAATAAGATTTAACGTCGCAGTCGAACCCGGGACGGAAATGTCCACCAGCACAGCACACCAGTTGAGCCCAATTCTGTTAGCAGCGATGCGACGCGAGCGTTATCGTTTTTTCCAGTCGCTTTCGAGCACGACAAGCGCTCTGAAATTGAGTCTTTCAAGCTGGTCACCAGGCCACTTAATCATCTGCTTTTGAGTTGCAATTGCTGGTCTCTTGGGGGAAAGAAGTTCTACAGAACTGATCTTCTCTCATTTGCACCACTATCATGTTTATCTGGCTGGAACTCAGGACTACTTCATAGGTCACAAGTTCCTCATTCTAAATACACTATCATTCATTCTATGACTAAGAGACGCGAGACCGCATTG